TGTCGGCTGTGAGTCGGCCAACACGCAGGTCCTGCAGGTGAGTGGCAGGTACCCAGCTCATGTGAGTCTGCATTTGTGTGGGCACAGTTACACACACACCCCTTTCCTCCTTCCTCATGTGGGTCCCCAAGAGAACAGCTTCTTCTTAAGACCAGAAACCTCATGGGAGGAACCACAGCTTCAATTTCTTTTGTTCCAGCCACCTCTCTCCCAAATCAAGTGGGAGCCAAGTAACCCTAACAGTCCCCAACCTTAGACACTTTCATGCTTATTATTGCATGGGCAGGTGAGCTGGCCTGAGAGTTGAGAGCACGTACTTTGTGATCAGAAAGTTTTAGTTTGAAACACATCCTTGTTGTCAACCAGCTGTGTGATCATGGGCTGATCTCCTAACCTCTCTGAGCCTCATTCCCTAAACTTTAAAATGGGAACATATCTTTGGGTTGTTGTAAGAATTAAAAGCACCTTAAGACAGTATTCGGCAGATAGCAGGAGCTGAAACAATGGTGCCTATTGCTGTTATAATATGATGTAATAATTATACAATGGTAAAAATTATTATTATTATTTCTGGTGATTGTGAACCAAAAAAAAGGGGGGTGGGTAGAGGAACTTTCTTATCTTGAAGTTCTAAGAGGGGAAGCATGGAGCCTGCATGTATGCAAATCGCAGCCACCTGAAGGGAGAAGGCGCCTTTCCCCACTTGTGGCGCCCTTTGCTCAAATGTGTGTGGTTCCTGCTGGAGGGCCTTGGTGGGGAGATCTGCTTTGCCCCACCTCTGCCTACCTGGCTGTAGCTGGCTGCCAGGGGGCTCCAAGAGCAATGTCAAAGGCCAGCATGAATAAGGAGCCAAAGTTTTGGGTTCACACCCCTGCTCTGCCAGGAGGCAGACTGGTATGCAATGGCCAGTTCCCCTGACTGAGCCCCAGGGAAACTCAAGGAATGGCCCCTACAGTAAAATCTTACACAAAGAACAGGGGCTTAACCAACAGTCCTGCTGCAACATGCATTCCCATGAGACACAGAGCCGAACTCAGTGGGAGCCCATCCTATGGCCTGAGGTCCGGGCTGCTCTCTTCTGGCCCATGCCTTTTTTTTTTTTTTTTTTTTTTTTAAATCTATTTATTTATTTATTTGAGACAGAGTCTCACTCTGTCCCCAGACTGGAATGCAATGATACAGTCCGGCTCATTGCAGTCTCAGCTTCCCAGGCTCAAGGGATCCTCCCACCTCAGCCTCCCCAGTAGCTAGGACTATAGGCACATGCCACCACCCCTGGCTGATGTATTGTATTTTTTGTAGAGAGGGGGTTTTGCCATGTTGCCCAGGCTGGCCTCAAACTCCTGGACTCAAGCAATCCACCCACCTCGGCCTCTCAGAGTGCTGGGACTACCTGCATGAGCCACCCACCCGGCCCAACCTCACACCTATCTTTAGTGGCTTAGCCCGCCCGCCTGCCCTCTGCCCTTCCACAGGTGTCTGAGGCCTGTGATGCCGTGTTCGTGGCTGGCAAGGAGAGCCGGGGCGCCCGGGGGGTGCGGGTGGACTTCTGGTGGCGCCGGCTCCGAGCCTCGCTGCGGCTGACGGTGTGGGCCCCGCTGCTACCACTGCGCATCGAGCTCACCGACACCACCCTCGAGCAGGTCCGCGGCTGGAGGGTACCTAGCTCTGCCGAAGGGTGAGTGGAGGCCTGAGGAAGCTGGCAGGCCTTGGCAAGTCACACTGGGACGGAGAGGGCGCAGGGGACACAGCCATGGGCCCAAGTCGGGGTCTGAAAAACTGCCGCGTTGCTTGCAGTTCTTTCTGCCCACCTCCACCCTGGACCGCCCAACCAATGACAGCTTTCTGTGAAATTGCTGACGTCCGCATCCCTCTCCTTCCCTGCCTCATTTCTCCCGTAGCACCCTCCACTTCCTAATCTACATCAGTACTGGTTAATATTGCCTGTCCATCCTTTCCACGCTCCTCCCCCGAGAATGTCAGCCCCTTGAAGCCGGGGTCTGTCTATGCTGGTCACTGCTATACCCTCAGAGCCTAAGATGACACAGAGCTCACGAAATGAACACCCTTGGAGGGGGCTCCCCAAAACCCAGGGCGAGGTGGCCCACGCCTCTGGAATCTAGCTTCCAGGCCCTTCAGAGAGGGAGCGCCCCCAGGGTCCCCGAAAGAGAGTGTCTGCCCTGGGGTCCACTTGGGAGCAAGAGCAGTGATCGAGGCACAGCGCTGTTCCGGAGTGGGCTGGGGGTTGAAGGGCCTGACCCCAAGAGGGGCGGATGTCTGCCTTTGAGAAACAGGAGCCGCTGGCGATTAGGAGCCGCTGGGGAGGAGCTGGGGATCTTCAGCAGCTGGGCCCTGGGCAGGCTGGGGCCGGGCAGCCCTGACAGCCAGTTCCGGCCTCCCCGCCCTGCAGGCCTGCGGAACCCGCCGCAGAGGCGGTAGATGAGACTGAGCGGCGCGCCCGTGGCTGCCACCTGCAGTACCAGCGCGCCGGTGTGCGCTTCCTCGCCCCCTTCGCTGCCCACCCGCTGGACGGCGGCCGCCGCCTCACGCACCTGCTTGGCCCCAACTGGCTGCTGGACGTGTCCCACCTTGTGGCGCCACATGCCCGCGTGCTGGACCCGCGTGTAGCCTCGCTGGAGGGCGGCCGCGTCCTAGTGGGCCGGGAGCCCGGTGTCACCTCCATTGAGGTAAGCAGCCGGGGACCAGGAGAGCAGACCCCCTGAGAAGGGTGGAGGGGCCCCCAGAATGCCTGCGGGTGGGAGTAAGTGTGCCAGGAGTCCAGAGTGTGTGGGGGAGTTGTGAGGTCTAGGTCTGAGAGCAGTGGGATTGGGGATGGGTTCAGAATGGGGTGGCCGCATAAGCGAGGAAGCCCTCTAGCTATGGAGGGCTGAGGTGTGGGTAATGTGGGGACCAGGTCTTGAGGGAAAAGGGAACTGTCCCCTAGGTGTGGGATTGGAGTCCAAGTATGCACTGGGGTGCAAAGAGTAGAGGGAGAGTAGCCAAAGAGGCTGCTGGGAGCTCCTTTTTCCCTCTGGGTGGGGGCTGTCCGTGGCAAAGACCCCCCCACCTCTGGAGAGCAGCCTGTAAGGGTGTTGGGGGCACCCAGTTCCCTCTGGGTGGGGGCTGTCTGTATGGAAGGCTCCCCCACCTCCAGCTCCTTCCCACCCTCAGGTGCGTTCCCCGCTGTCTGACTCCATCCTGGGGGAGCAGGCCCTGGCTGTGACGGACGACAAGGTCTCAGTGCTGGAGCTGAGGGTGCAGCCAGTGATGGGCATCTCGCTGACCTTGAGCCGGGGCACTGCCCACCCCGGGGAGGTCACAGCCACGTGCTGGGCACAGTCAGCCCTTCCCGCCCCAAAGCAGGTGACAGTTGGGGGGTCAGGAGGATGAGGTCAACATCTCCAGATGGGGGCTCATGGTAGAGGGGGATGGGAGGAAGGGGAACCTGGCAGCTTGACCCCTTAGGGTTTTCAGAGTGAGGACTGACTCTGTGAGGTAGTGAGCTCTCTGCAGCTGGAGGTGATCAAGCAGTGGCTGGAGATGGTGGGAGGTTGGTTAGATGGCTCTAACTGAGGACCCTCCCAATAACTCAGACCCTAGGACTGAGTGGCAGACAGGTGATTGACACGCGTCCCCTCTCTCCCTGTGTTTTGTCTATCTGCCTGTGTCTCTGTTTTCTCTCTGGTCTCTCTTCCATGTGGCCTGTCTCTGTGGGAGTGGTTTCTCTGTGCATGCGTGCGTGCCCTCGCGTGTCTCTGCCTGTGTCTGTGTGCCCCACAGGAGGTGGCCCTCTCCCTATGGCTGTCCTTCTCTGATCACACTGTGGCCCCGGCTGAGCTCTACGACCGCCGTGACCTGGGACTGTCCGTCTCAGCCGAGGAGCCTGGTGCCATCCTGCCAGCTGAGGAGCAGGGCGCCCAGCTCGGGGTGGTGGTGAGTGGGGCAGGCGCCGAAGGGCTGCCGCTGCATGTGGCTCTGCACCCGCCCGAGCCCTGCCGCCGGGGCCGCCACCGTGTGCCTCTGGCCTCTGGCACCGCCTGGCTGGGGCTGCCTCCTGCCTCCACTCCAGCCCCTGCCCTCCCATCCAGCCCTGCTTGGAGCCCACCAGCCACAGAAGCCACCATGGGTGGTGAACGGCAGGCGGCAGGCAGTGTCGGGGACAACATAGGTGTGAGGGGCAAGTTTGAGCGGGCAGAGGAGGAGGCCAGGAAGGAGGACACCAAAGCCAGGGAGGAGGAGGAGGAAGAGGAGGAGGAGATGGTCCCTGCCCCTCAGCGTGTCACCGACCTAGAGCTGGGCATGTACGCCCTGCTGGGAATCTTCTGCGTGGCCATCTTCGTCTTCTTGGTCAATGGTGTGATCTTCATCCTGCGCTATCAGCGCAAAGAGCCTCCCGACAGTGCCACTGATCCCACCTCCCCCCAGCCCCACAACTGGGTCTGGCTGGGCACTGACCAGGAGGAACTGAGCCGCCAGCTGGACCGGCAGTCCCCTGGCCTGCCCAAGGGGGAGGGGGGCTGCCCCTGTGAGAGTGGGGGAGGAGGGGAGGCCCCTACTCTGGCCCCTGGCCCTCCTGAGGGCACCACCAGCTCCTCAAGCACCCTGGCCCGAAAGGAGGCTGGGGGGCGGCGGAAGCGAGTAGAGTTCGTGACATTTGCGCCAGCCCCTCCAGCCCAGCCACCTGAGGAGCCTGTAGGGGCTCCTGCTGTGCAGTCCATCCTTGTGGCAGGCGAGGAGGACATCCGCTGGGTGTGTGAGGACATGGGGCTGAAGGACCCTGAGGAGCTTCGCAACTACATGGAGAGGATCCGGGGCAGCTCCTGACCCTCCACAGCCACCTGGTCAGCCACCAGCTGGGGCAACAGCGGTGGAGGTCCCACCGAGCCTCTCGCCTGCCCCCCGCCGCTCGTCTGGTGCTTGGTGATCCAAGTCCCCTGCCTGGTCCCCCGCAAGGACTCCCACCCAGGCCCCTTCTGCCCTGCCCCTTGTCATGGACCATGGTCGTGAGGAAGGGCTCATGCCCGTTATTTATGGGAACCATTTCATTCTAACAGAATAAACCGAGAAGGAAACCAGAGCTGGGACTGCTGCTGTCTGGTGGAGTGAAGCAAAGGGGCTGGAATGGGGTGTGTTCAGCCCCTGTCCCTGCTGAAACAGCTGTGGGAGGCTGGGCCCTGGGACACCCTCTCATAGCGTCCAGCGATCCAGACAAATAGGAGGGCCGTGACAGCCTGAATGCCAGCCAGCAGGAAGAAGTAGAGGTCCATCCGGCAATTGTTGATGTTCCCTGGGGAAAGGAGGGGTTAGATTTGGGTCAGGACAGGGATCCTCTGACTTGCACCCTGTGCCTGCCATGTCCCAGCCCTGGGGCTGGCAGTTGAGGCCATGTGGGCAGTGGTGGGATCTGAAGACACTGGACAGATACCCGCTAATGTCTGGCTTCCTGAAGGTCTCCAGGGGTATCTACAATTCCTCTTCAGCTATTCAGAAGGGGGTGTGAAATACAAACACCATGAGAAAGGTAACCTTTCAGCCAGAAATGGCAGAGTTCCAGAAGCAGTAAGGAGCCTTGGAGGTCCACTAAGTTCAACAGTTGGGGAAACAAAGGCCCAAGGAGGGAGGCCATGCTGTGGGTGACTGGCCAAGCCCAGACTAGAACCCCATTCTCCAAGTCTAGCCCTCTTCTTGCTTCTGCCCAGAGTCAAAGCACTTAGCAGTTGCCACCTCCTTTCCAAGCCTCCCTCCACCCATGTCCCACTCCTGGGGAGGCCCCATACTCACCGAAGTCCTCAGGGCAGTGCAGCCAGCCCCCAGGCAAGGACAGCAGTGCCACTAGGCTGGAGCCCAACAGTGAGCCCACCCCCGACAGGCAGAAGAAGATGCCCATGATGGCGCCTTGCATGGAGCGCGGGGCCTCTGAGTAGGCAAACTCCAGGCCTGTGGAGAGGGAGCAGAGATGATCTCAGGGGCTGGTGCAGGTGCAGAGAACAGGCTCAGGCCCCTGCCTGCTGCCCCCACCAAGCCACCCTCCAGGCTTCCCTTGGATGCCTGTCCACTCAGTGGCAATGACAGCACCTATGCATCAATGTCGCCTTTCCCTCTGCCCTGCTCACCTGCCTCCTGGCTGAACCCCTGCACCGGGATGCTCCATGTGCTGCCCCAGGAGCTCTGTCTCCCCTCCTCCCCTTCCTGCTAGGTCGCTCATTTCAGTGACAGCACCATCTTTACTTCCTCTCTCTCCCCACCATCTCTGCCCACCTTCAATGTCATCGTCGAATCGTTTTGATATAACCTCTGAAATCTATTCTAAATGTATGTCCTTCTCTCTGTTTCCTCTTCTCTGGGTCCAACCCCAGTCCTGGTCACTTTCTGCAAATGCCTCTTAAACTCCCCTGACTCCTGTCCTCCTCACACAGCCAGGAGCATCTGTCTAAAGCATCTCGGATGGGGTCCTTTCCCGGCCTAAACCCCCTGAAGGGGAGGGGCACTGTTGCCTTCAGGAGAAAACCCAAGATGCAGGCCCAGCCCACAAATTCGACACTTCCACTGCACTTCCCTTGCCCCTCCAGTCCTATCCCCCACACTTCCCAAAGGCTTGGGTCTTTGCTTATGCTGTTCCCTCAGCCTGTAAGACCCCTCCTCCTACCCACTCACCTGCCTGCCTCCCCTCCATGCTTAAGGGCTCCCACCACACTCTGCCCTGACTTCCACAGCACTCCACTGGCTCACTGTTTGCCTGACTCTCTCCCCATCTGAGTGAGCTCCCAGGGTCAGTTTTTTCATTACATCTGACCCAGCCTAGCCCTGGGCCCGCAGCTGAGGAAGCTCTTGGGTTTTTTTTGCTGCCTGAAGGGCCTGCCCCAGCCTTGCAGCTCTAGCTCCCAGCCCAGGGAAGGGGGTTGGGAGGGTGGGGAGCGAAGGACATAGAAATCCATCATTATGACCCAGAGTACTGTGTGCTATGATAGAGAGATGAACACGGGGCGGGAAGGGAGGGCCCCTTTCTCCCAAGGACCTTGGTATTTAGGCTCAGAATTGAAGGGGAAATCAGAGTTCACCTTCAATCTAAGGTAGAGGGAACAGCAACTTCAAAGACACAGAGGGTGGAGAACCTGGCACCAGGGGAATACGTGGAGAGCTGGTGTGGGAAGTGCCTTGCTTGCCTCCAAATCCCCAGTGCCTGTCACAGTGGCTGACTTGAACCAGGTGCCAATACTAGATCCCAGTTGAGTGACAGAGCCCTGGTCAGAAAACACTGCCTTCCTCCGTGCAGATGGGCCCTGGAGGCTGCAGCCCTGGGGCCCCTGACTTTGAGGTGCCACTGGGCAGAGCCCATCACTGGTGTAGGAGCAGGGGAGGGGGTCCAGGGTACCTGGGATGCTGGCAAAAATCTCGCTGATCCCAATGAGCAGGTACTGAGGGATCTGCCACCAGATGGACAGTGGTGCCGCGTTGTACAGGACCTCCCCAATCTCCTGGGACACGGTTTGGTTGTGGTGGATGTAGTGTAAGCGCTCCATCTCCAGGACTCCTGGTGGAGGAGCAGAGGGGGATTATAGTCAGGCCCACCCCAGGCAGCTTAGCCCACAGCAGAGCTTGTACATGGCAGGGGTGGGGTGCTCATGAAGTAGCCAAAGATTAAGCATCAGGCAAGGAAAAGAATCCTGGACTCGGGGTGGAGGAGGAGGCCAAGAGGTGACCAGCTCTTCCCTTTTGGAGTTGGCTGCTAGAAGCTCCGAGCTGAGTTTTGCACTCATTAACAACTCTCATTAATGGAGAACCTGTTATGTGCTAGGCATTTACTATGCATCCTCGCTGGTGAAAAAAGTGCAACAGGTAAACAACCAGCCCACAGTCACACAGCTGATAAGTAGTCAGGGCTGGATTTGAGCTCTGGTGTGTCTGGTTTCAAAGCTGGCCTACTTTCCATGATATCACATGACTTCTCTACTGCAACGTCAAGTACTGCTGTAGTGTTTCTAACCTGGCTTTCAAATTTAATTATGTTATCTCCTTCTCCCGCGTTGCTTGGGAGATAGCTGTGCTCTAGTGGAATGAACATTGGACATGGAGTTGGGGGACCTGGGTTCCCAGCCTGGCTAGCTGTGTGACCTTGGGCAAATCACTTAACCTCTCTAGACTCAGTTCCCTTATGCAAGAAGCAGGAATAACATTCACAGGACTATTGTGAGGATAAAATAGGACAAACTGCTTTAAGGATATAGCTGGAATAAAATCTAGTTGGGTTTTCACACTTTCAACACAATACCATTTATATGGAGGTTTCATTTCTCCAGCTCACACTTGTGATCCAGGCACACTACTGAGTGCTTTACAGACTTCATCTCCTTTAATCCTCACAACAACCCCCATCAGACTGAGTTCCACGAGGGCAGAGCCCTGCTCAGGGCCCAGATGATACCTGTCCCCATTTTAGAGACCTGGTCTCTAAAACAGGTGAGTTTAGAGACTCACCTGTTCCCCCTCAGAGACTCTAAGGAACTTCAGGGTTATAAAGTTACAAGTAAAAAGGGTTCAGGTTTGCGCAACAGTGTGAAAGACTTCTTTAGCTGCCCCCTCCCACCCCCACCCTCAACCCCCACGTTGTAACAAATGGCTCCAGATCCTTTTAAAACGAAGAAGGAAGAGAAATTTCTTTTTAAGTCTTCTTTTGCCACTAAGTGGAAAATTCCTTCAACACATTTATGGAGGGCCCACATGCATGTTCATAGCAGTGAATAAAAAAGAATAACAATCCCTGCCTTCAAGGAACTTACAATTCACTGGGGAAAATATTTGTTCCTCTCTTGGCCTGAGTTTCCTCTTCTGCCAAAATGAGGGGCAGCTGGACTAGATAGGAGGGTCTCTTTCAGCTTGCACCTCCGGGAAGCCAACACGGACACCCACTGGGAGAGGCTAAACTTGGCCCAGGCTACCACTTCAGCATCAGCCCATGGTGGAACCAGACTTCCTCAAGCCCAAAGTTCAGCCCCCTGCCCCACACCGCTCTGCACACCTGCCACAATGACGGAGGTAAAACCAAAGAACATCCCCAGAGCCATCTTCTGCAGAGCAGATGGAAGCAGCTTGCACCGCAGCAGCAGAGGGTCGATCAAGCGGTCCTTCAGAGGGACCAGAATCAGCACCACCACGACGTTGGCCAGGAGGAGCCAGGCTTCCGGGATCTGGGCGGGAGGAAGTCAAGAGAGGCAGGCTAGCAGCGTGGAAGGAGCCTGGCTGCAGTCAGGAGACCTGGACTCTAGACTGGCCCTGAGTGACCCAGGGGTCCCGCTCCTTCCCCTCTCTGGAACTCACATTCCTCAGTTGTGTAGCCAGGGAGTGGGATTATATAGAGATGGCAGATAGGTTCCTCTTGTATTCTAACTTTTATCAGTTGGTAGTGGCTGATTACGGAACATTTATGGGCTCAGCATAAAAAAAGTCATGATTGACTAGTGATGTCTGCCATAGGCACGGAAATGGAGTACAATGGCAAATTTCTCATTTATCTGCCAGCTCTGTAGATCATTCATTTCTTGAGTCTCTGAAATGCCAAGGAACTGGTTTAGAAAGCTCTGGGAAAGGCAGAGATCTAGGTATCTAAGGGTCCCAGAGAAACAGGAGACAAGGAAGAGCTGAAAAGGGACCTGAGTGTGCTTAATCTGAGGCTGCAGATTCGGCAGCGAGGCCTGCTTCAGAGCGGCAGCATGGCGGTGTGCAGCCGGCCCGAATTCCTTCAAGCAGGTGAGCGTCTTGGCAGGATCCCTGCGCTGTGACACAAGTTCTCCCACCCTCCAGGTGCTTTTCCTGTATCCCAAGGTTGCCTTGCAGCCAGGAAAGGGGAGTGTGAAGGCAGTTTCATTTGCTCCTCTGTTCTCAGAGGAAGCTGCTACCTGGCCTGAACTGGGTGCTGAACACATGCTTTATCTCTCACCGTATAGCTGCTGCCCTGGGCTCTCAGGGCCATGGAGATGTTGGACGGGTTGGCTGGGAAAATGTTTGGGATGTGGAGGTGAAGACCCTGCAGGACGTAGGTGGACTGCATCTGCCAAGAGAGACGGGGATGAGCCTGGAACAGAACTGGGCGTGCCCCCTCCCAGCTCCCAGGTGGCATTCTTCAGCCAGAGCACAGGGCAGCGGGGCAGCTGTCCCCTCTCCCAGTCTCAGGGAGATAGTCACCTTCCCACTCTCCTTTCTCCTACATAGCCGGGCTGAGCAGGGAGCTTCCTGCGCTCTGCTCTCAGGCCTGTAGGCAGTGCGTGCAGCCTTGTCCCGGAGCCCAGGCACAGCTGGTCTGACTCGTATTTGTGTCCCCAGGGCCCAGCACAGGGTAAGCATGGATAAATGTTTGTTGAAATGGGAAAGGTAACGGCTGCCCCCGCAGGGAGTTCTCATCTCACACTGAAACCAAGCTGAGTCCCACAGGTTGACACAAGCACTGCATAGACATGGACTTGCCGGAATGGCTCTGGACACAGCTGCAGGAGCAGGGCCCAGGGGCCACGTCCCATACCAGGCATTGCCCCTTTAGTTGCTACATAATGGAGTAGGATCCAGGAGACTCCCACCGGAAGCGCCAGGGCAGAGGAGGGCATGTGGGCTGCTCAGGGCAGCAGCCATTTACCAACTGGTATGGAAAGAAGTCAGTATCCGATTGGTATGACTAAGAATCAGCCATGGACACCCTCCCACCACAAGCCGCTGTCTCATCATAGACATACTCTGTGTGCCCCTAAGTAGCAGGCTGGGAGCTCCAACAAATGTTCCTGTGAATGGGACATGAAAGGCAATGATCTTATGGCCTGGGGGCTAGCATTAAGCTGCTGCCCACCCTCCTAACAATCACACACACACACACACACACACATATACACACACACACACCACTGACCTCCCCACTGGGAGTAATACGGTGAGTGGGAGGCAATAGTTCTCAACTCTGAATGTCAGTATCATCTGAAAAGTTTCTTAAACTAGATACTTCCCCAGCAATTCTGATTCAATAGCCTAGGGTCGGACTTGGAATCTGTTTTTAAAACACAGCATATTTTTAAAAGCTCTGCCGGTGATTCTGAAGCACAGCCAGGTTGGGGAACCACCGTTGCAAAGTACCCACTTTTGTGAGCTTGCCCCTGACCTGCCTGCCGTGGGGCCTTGGGTGACTGACACAATTTCTCTAGGCCTCAGCTACCAAGTCGGACAATCTGAATGCGGCAGAGCTGGAAAAGCCTCTCATTTAAGCCACCCGTCGTACATGTGAGGAAACAGGCCCAGAGAGATGAGGTGACTTATTCAAGGACCTAGCCTGGCACAAAGCCATCCCAGTAATTCAATTCCCGCAGGTGGTGTAGCAGGAGGAAGCTGTCTCCAGAGTTCCTCTTACCACACCACGCGAGGGAGTTGGATTGCTGAGATGGCTTTGTGCCAGGCCCCATGCTGGCTGGTACGGGGCAGCACCTCACTTAATTCCCAGACTTTCCCCCTTTCCACATGCCCTGGGCCTCTGTGATGAGAACCGAAGCCATTCAGGTGGTGAGTGGGGAGCCAGGCCCCCAGAGAAAAAGGGGAGGGGTGCTCACCTGAAAGTAGACCATCCAGTAGGGCACCAGGGTCACCATGACGGGCAAGATCTTCACCAGCACCTGGAAGTTGGCGATGTCCTCTTGCGGGGAAGCCCCAGGCTGGGGAGACCTCTGGTCAGGCAGCAGGTGGGCACCTTGACGGTCTCTGTGGGACCTCAGGGACAGCAGATAAAACAGCAGTCGAGGCTTGGCTTGGTGGCTCACGCCTGTAATCCCAGCACTTTGGGAGGCTAAGGCGGGTGGATCACCTGAGGTCAGGAGTTCAAGACCAGTCTGGCCAACATGGTGAAACCCTGTCTCTACTAAAAATACAAAAAGTAGCCGGGCTGTTTTGGTGTGCACCTGTAGTCCCAACCCAGGAGGCTGAGACAGGAGAGTTGCTTGAACCTGGGAGGCGGACGTTGCAGTGAGCCAAGATTGTGCCACTGCACTCCAGCCTGGGCAACAGAGCCAGACTCCCTCTCAAAAAACAAGCAAACAAACAAACACAGCAGCCATAATCTTTCCCACCACCTCGGCCACCGTTTTCACTCCCACCATCACCCTGTAATTTAATCCTCCTCTCAGTATCAGCATGTCCCTGAAATCAGTGCCCTCATCTCCTCCACCCCACCTTCGCCATCATCACCACCATCGCCAGGGCCAGCATCCTTCCTATCATCACCTTTAGTAAGGTGGCTGCTGTCAGCAGAATCATCCTCTCCACAGAGTTTCCATTCCCATCACCATCACTCTTTTTCAGTGTTGGCACCACCACTGCCAGTATTATTCTATCCTCTCTTTTGTTGCAAACGTGCCTAGCCAAGACTCATTCCGCTCTAGAGTTGCGGCCCCTCTGGGTCCTGAGGGAAGTAAGACCAGAGACTGTGGAAAACAGTCTGAAGGGATTTTTTGGCTTGTAGCATCAATTTGCCATAGGAACCAGGGGAGTCCCAGTCCAAGCCTGACTGAGAGCGAGAGATGCTATCACAGATTTGATACACCAAAATTCCCCCCACTTGCTGTCTCAAGTCCATCCTCCTCAACAGTCAACATGACAACCCTCTCCCTCCACGACAAGGCATAGAGAGTGGAGAGGTGGGGGTAGAGGGAACATCAGTCGGCGACAGGATTGATCAATCACTGCTGCAAACTTTACCCTTTGCCCTTTGTCCTGAGAGCTTTCTGACCTCTTTTTGTCCAAGAGCCTTGCATCGTCCTTTGAGATTCCAAAAGGGACAATACTAGTGTGGTCATCTTCAAAGACAGTCACTGTCAACTCCACCCTTCCCAGCGTGTGCTGCCATTTTGCCACCAACAGGCAGAGTTTACTTTTCCTGCCATTGTTTCCCTGCTGGCCCTGTGATGCCTTTGACCTGTTAGAATGAAGCAGAAGTGGTGGTCTGGGACTTCAGCGCCTCTTAAGGGCCTTAAGAAGACCTGTAACTTCTGCTTTCTTCCCTCTTCTGCATTCTTGGAATGCTCCCTCCTCCTGCAACCCTCACAAGATGCTGTGAGAAGTTCAAGCCACACGGTAAGACCACATGAAGGGGAACCAAGGTGCTCTGGTCCACATAGTCCCAGCTGAGTTCCCAGCCAACAGCCCACATTGACCGCCAGCCATGTAAGTGAGCAGACTCAGATGTTCCAGCCCTTTCCAGGTCCCAAATGACTGCAACCCCAGTGCCATCATGAGAAACAGAACTGCCCTACTGAGCCCAGTCACTCAGAACTGGGAGAGGAGATAACAAGGTCATTTAAATCAGTAAGATCTGGTGTGGTTTGTTAGGCAGTGATAGATAATGAAAACCACCACACTTCTTGGCTCCCGACAACTTACAAATCTCTAGCAATATGCCAGATTGGGGAAAGCATGTTCTTCACTTTTTTCATCTAGATCCTATTGACAGGAGCTGTAACTGGTTGCAAGGTCTGGAGACAGATTTGCTTAGCATAAGTAGACAGTTAATTCAGGAAGGCGAGGAGCAAAAGGAAGCCATGGGACCTAAGGTCATTCAGAACCTTCCTCCCTTGGATGTCAGCTAATGGGGAGGGAGTGAGTTTGGTCGATTTCCTAAGACGCTGTGATGGTTAGTAATAGGGTAATGTGGAATTATTCACATTATATCCCAACAGCCTTCACTGGAACCATCATCCCTCATCCCCTCCTTTAATGCCATTGTCATCCCCATTGCCAATGTTTGTGTCTTCAGTGTAGATACCAATGCCATCATCCTTATCCTTACTACCATCTTCACTGTCAAGACCCCGATCATCCTCACACTTCCTTTTCTTTCTTTTTTTTTTTTTTTTTTCTGTTCTGTCACCCAGGTTGGAGTGCAGTGGCACCATCATGGCTCACTCCAGCCTCAACCTCCTGGACTCGATTGATCCTTCTATGTCAGCCTCCCGAGTAGCTGAGACCACAGGCACACGCCACCACACCCCACTCATTTTTGTAATTTTTTTGTAGAGATGAGTTTCACCATGTTGCCCAGGCTGGCCTCAAATTCCCAGGCTCAAGAGAGCCGCCAGCTTCAGCCTCCCAAAGTGCTTAGAGAGATAGCCACTGCCCCCAGCCCCATCCTCACACATTCTATACGTAGATGGCCACCAATAATACCACCACCACCACCACCACTACCTTGACCTCCGTCCTCAGTCACAGTGGGCAGCTCTGGCCCACTAGAGAGCAGATCATCGTAAAAAGCTATCACTGTAGCCGAACCAGAACATCTGCAATCCAGACCATCCCTCCCCAGAAGCAGTCCAGCGCTTCTCCAAGCTTGGAGGCTCCTGGCACCCAGAGCCCCTCCTTACCTGGCCAAGTGTCGTTGCCACAGCTGGGGGCAGCAGTTTTGGAGAGCGAGCTTAAGCATAGAGGACACTTGGCTGCCCATGGGGGGCTTGGTGATGAAGACAGGGGTGGCAAAGAGGAAGATAAAAAATGCCAGGCCCACACAGCCCACAGGGATGCTGTAGCCCAGCAGGAAACTGATGTTCTGCTGAATAAAAGCCACCACCAGCAGCGACAGCACAGCACCCAGGTTGATGCTCCAGTAAAACCAGTTGAAGAAGCGGCGGGTGGCGTCGCGGCCGAGATCCATCACCTGCCATTCAGGAAGGGTTGAGAGTGAGGGCCAAAGGGGTTCGGGGCACTCTGTGTACCCTACCCCTCCCTCGTACAGAGACACTTCTTGGGGTCAGTGGGTGGTGGGTGTTCCGACACTTTCCTAGTCTCTGATCACTAAACAGATACTCAGTAAATATTTGCTGAATGAATGAATGAATCCTTCTCTTGGGAGTCACTTGCTAAAGATCAGGACATTTGGCCCAGCTGCTTTTGCATACCCATGACACACATTGCTTTTTTATTGTTGCAGAGGAACACATACAACAGATGTCTCGGATGCCACTTGTTCATTTCTGGTTGATTTATCCCTTTGTCTTTGACTGAGCAACCTACACTATTCATTACTTCTGTAATCAGAAAAAAGCCAGTAAAGATCTCAGTTTTGTTGCACATTATTAAAAATGTTGTATGCATATTATTGGAAGAGCAGAAGTCTGAGTGAGAATTTCCTCTGCAATTCAGAGAGGCAAGCAGAGAAACCTATTGTGACTCATCCTTTCACCCAATTTTTGTCCCTCTGATATGCAGCAGAGGTGGTCCCAGGCACAGCCCCAAGAGTGAGTTCTGGCCTGGTGAAAAAAGCATTTTTTTTTTTTCAGGCCTCCCAGCAAGGGTAGATGGGCTGAAAATCTTTACCCAGGATTTGGATCAATCAGCAACAGCCAGGCCCCAGGCCCCTTCTGGTCTGTTGGCTCCAGTTAGCTGCACTGGCTGCTCCCAAATCTCCTAGACCCAGGTCCCAGATTCTGACTCAGCAGGTCTGGGACAGGACCTGGGTATCTGCATTTTTAAAAAAAGCAGTGAGGACTAGGGGCCGTTTCAATGGAGAGAATAAATGCTTCTCTACATTGCTACACCAGTCACCCTTTTGATATCCCTGCAAATCTCAGGATCCATTACTGCCTTTCACCTAGAGATTTAAATTTCCACTAGCTGGGGAGATTTTGTCAAACTTTACTTTCTGTAGTTGCACTGAGGAAAATATAAGTATTTATTTTTCCTTTTTCAAAAGTGAAATTATAGTCCACATGGATGCACTTAAAACCACATTCCATTGGAGATTCTGGGGGTCCTCTTGGCAATGGGAAGGGAGGGGCATGCCAGCTCCCTGATAATTCTCGCTCTAGACTTTCAAGTAGAAAATTGAATAGGTCCCATTAGAAGCAGCCGCTTCCATTTATTAATTGGAAGTAAATGAATATGACTATTATAACTCTAAGGGGGAAGACCAGGAAGCCCATTCAGGATATAAATGAGTTCTTTTAGAATGAGCAGACACTTTGTCAAGAGTGATGGATGGCCCTTTCTGAAATCAGCAAGTGTGTGAAACACACAGCTCCTGGGGTATAGCTATTGCCAGATGGTGCCAGTCCCACCCACCCCCACATCCCCCGTCTGACTGCCCCCCTGAATTCTGCAGCAGCTTCCTGCCTGTTGTGAAGTACCCACTCTTGTTAACCCATACGCTGTCTACACTGCAGCCAGAGTCATTTTTGAAGACCTCAAATCCAGTGATGTGCATTCCTGCCTCAAACCATTTCGGTGTTTCTGCACTGTCCTAGGGATCAGGTCCCGACTTCATGAGGCAGCCTTGTGGCCTGCCTTTGCTCCACCCAAAGTTCATGCCCAGCCAAGGGGAGAATGTACAGGAGCTTCTATCACTATTGGTGCCACGGGAGGCTCTGCTCAGTGGCCTGGCCTCCAGAAGATCAATTCTGCCACAGGAGGTACTGGATGGGTGAGGCTCTCTGGAGGTCAACAGGGTCAAGGACACAGGTTAAGGGTACTGGGTTGGGGGTGCTAGTGGGATATCAACGAAATAACAGGATTAAAGGAAGATGAGAGATTCCCATTGACAAATATTGGGGGTCTCTAAGTCTGAAGGAATGTCAACAACAAGTAAGAAATGGCCAGGGTTGGCTGGTCGCAGTGGCTCACGCCTGTAATCTCAGCACTTTGAGAGGCTGAGGCAGGTGGATCACCTGAGGTCAGGAGTCAAGACCAGCCTGGCCAACATGGCAAAACCACATCTCTACTAAAAAAATACAAAAATTAGCCAGCGTGGTGGTGGGCATCTACAATCCCAGCTACTTGGGAGACTGAGGCAGGGAGAATTGCTTGAACCCGGGAGGAGAGGTTGCAGTGAGCTGAGATCGCACCACTGCACTCCAGCCTGAGCAACAGAGCGAGACTCCATCTCAAAAAAAAAGATAGAAAGAAAAAGAAATGGCCAGGGTTGTCCTGGGGGCACGAAGTCATCATCAAAGGATCCTAAACAAGCTGGACAAGTGACTCCTTGCCAAGGACAGTGGAAACTACTTAGGTGCTGAATTGTGGGTGCCAACTGGATGAAATGATCCTTTTGAAAGATGTCCCCTTTATGAGTATAATATATGCAATCAAAGAACATTTGAAAAACTGAGACAATTAAGAAGAAAGTGCAATGAGTCCAGTGGCCTGATCATACTACTGTGACAATGTTTCTCCCGTTTCCTTTCATTGACATCTTGTCTTTCCACATGGCTGCAGTCCTATCTGTATGCAGTCCTGCATCTGGCTTTTGCTCATATACACCATATGTAGTTATTTTAATAATATTACATTTTAGTCTAAAGTATTGTCTGATATCACACTGGGAACAGCTATCAAAATATAGCTGTGTTGTTGGGCATTTACTCATTCATTTAGCAAATAATTATTAAATTTCTTCTACGTGGGCCGGGCGCGGTGGCTCAAGCCTGTAATCCCAGCACTTTGGGAGGCCGAGACGGGCGGATCACAAGGTCAGGAGATCGAGACCATTCTGGCGAACCCGGTGAAACCCCGTCTCTACTAAAAAATACAAAAAAAAAAAAACCTAGCCGGGCGAGGTGGCGGGCACCTGTAGTCCCAGCTACTCGGGAGGCTGAGGCAGGAGAATGGCGTGAACCCAGGAGGCGGAGCTTGCAGTGAGCTGAGATCTGGCCACTGCACTCCAGCCTGGGCGACAGAGCGAGACCCCTTCTCAAAAAAAAAAAAAAAAAAATTTCTTCTACGTGTCATGCTCTGTCCAAGGGGGAATGGAGAAAGGCTCAGAGGTTGAGCTAAGGGAGAAGACCAGGCAGCCCATTCGGGATATAAATAAGTTCTTGCCCATGCGCCTTCAGCTAGTGACGGGCAGAGCTGGGATCTGAGCAAGTCGGCCTGACAACCTCCAGCACTGCTGGTAGGAAGAGGCTGGCTCGATCCTGCCCTGCCTGCACATCCCCATAACACACAGAGGAGGCTCATGGTGGGACCTGGAGTCCAGCTGCCCTTACTCGACTGCTTGACCCTCCATGTCACCTTGGACGAGTTAATTAACGCCATGAAACCTCTCAGTGTCTTTCTCTGTAAAATGGGCATAATACTTCCTACCTCCTGGGTGGTGAAGAGTATTAAATCAGTTAAACAGTGAAAGTGCTTAGCATAGGGCCTACAAGTAGCTCAAAGAAGACCAACCCTTCCAGCGTGGTGGCTCATGCCTGTAATCCCAGCACTTTGGGAGGCGGAGGCAGGTGGATCATCTGAGGTCAGGAGTTCGAGACCAACATGGTGAAACTCCATCTCTACTTAAAAAAAAAAAAAAAAATTAGCCGGGCCTGGTGGCAGGCCCCTGTAATCCCAGCTACTTTGGAGGCTAAGGAGGGAGAATCGCTTGAACCCGGGAGGCTGAGGTTGCAGTGAGCTGAGATCGCGCCATTGCACTGCAGCCTGGGCGACAGAGTGAAACTCCGTCTCAAAAAATAAAACCAACCAACAAACAAAAATAACCATGGTTATTCCCACTGCGGTTGCCATCGGTTCTGCAAGGGCTAGCACCCCTCTTCTTTCAAATCAGGAAACTAGGCGCAGGCAGGGGACGTGGTTTGTCCCAGGTCACGCTGGGGGTCAGCCCTCCTTCCCTCCACACCCGCCGGAATCGGCCGGGGCAGGCCTCCTGCCACTCACCTGGTCGGCACCGAAGGAGGTGAGGTTGCTCCGGACGGAGCTGGCGGCCAGGGCGATGAGCAGCAGCCCCGCGTAGAGGACGGGCGCGCAGTAGGGGCTGGGCGAGGCGCGCGGGCAGTCGGGCGAGGGGCAGGCGGGTCCCAGCGGCGACGCGGGCATCTCTCCGCAGAAGGAGCTGCGGCCGTCGGGGAAGGCGGTGGCGGGCAGCAGGCCGGAGGCGGTCAGGTAGAGCAGCAGGCTGAGCGCGACCGCGCGGTAGCGGCCCAGGTACACGTCGGCCAGCCAGCCGCCCACAGGCGCCAACAGGTAGGAGGCGCCCAGGAATACCAGCGCGGCGCGCGACGCCTGCTCGCCCGCCCAGTTGAAGTTGGTGCTGTTTAGGTAGAGCACGAGGTTGGCAGTGATGCCGAAGAAGGCGGCGCGCTCCAGCATCTCCACTAGCAGCACCGCCGCGCCCGCGGCCCGCCGCCACCGTGGAGGGCCCTGCACGCCGCGAGGCAGCAGCGGCCGGCGCTCCCCGGGCACGCGGGGCTGCTCCCGGGTGCGCGGCGCGGGCATCCTGGCTCCGGGCTGGGCCCCCCTTGGCTCTCCTCTCCCCGCCTCAGAGCCCTGCACTTCTGCCCCCGGGCCTCGGCCCTCTCCCCCACCCAACTGGCTGGCCCTCCTTTCTCACCACTTTGGCCCACCCTTCCCTCCTGTCCCCTCTCCCTTTCTTGCCCTACCCTTCCTGTTCCTCCGCTCACTACCCGGACTCTACTACCTCCTCCCTAATTTTCAACTCCCCTCTCCCTTCCCCTACCCCTAAGCCTTCCTCCCCGTGCCTCCCCTGCAGCTGTTTCTCCCTGACTCTCCCCTCTCCTCCCTCCACCTTGACCCTTCCTCCCTCTCCTCTTGTTCACACTGCGACCCTCCCTGCTCCACTTAGCTGCCCCTCCGCCTCCCTTTCCTCCTCCCCGTTTGTCGCCCCTTCCTGTTGTCCCCTCTCCTTATGACTCCCAGCCTGCCCTGGGGTGGGTTGGGGGCTCCTTCTGCCCCAGTTACCCTGCTGCCCCTGCTGTCTTCTCCACCTCCTCCCTGTTCCCCTCACCCCCACTGCCTCCACTCCCCTCCCAGTCCCCTGCAGCCCTCCCACCAGGCTCAGCTTGAGAAACTCTGGGCTCCCCTCGCTTCCCCTTTCACTGGCCCTATCCGCAGTCGCCTGCCTGCATCACATGGCGCAACTGGGTGTTTAGGAGAAGTGAAAGCCTGGGTCACAGGGCTCCTGCCCCGTCAGCTTTCTAAAAACCTCCCTCCTCCTCTACCTCTGCCTGCTACCCCAAACCCCCTCTGCTGGCCTCCCTAGAGCCAGGAGGAATTTTTTCTTTCAGTTTCATTTCTCGCCAGGATCCCACTTTTGCTTTACCCTCTTCCAATCGAATTCCAAGGCGCCACGGGTAGAAGGAAGTGGAAAGGCTGCCTGCATCATTTGGTCACACTCAGTCACTTCACAGATGCAGAGACTGAGACCCAGTGGGGCTAGGGCAGGAAGGTGGAAAAAGACTGGTTCCTGGTGACTGAACTAGGGGTGAAGCCCTGCCCGGGCTCCTGAGTGGCGGGGAAATTCACAGTGCAATTCGGATTGCGCAGAGGCTGCTGTAAGGAAGGAAGTGGGGACACTTTCCACAAGCCTGCGGGCCATAGAGCACCACAAGTGAATCGGGATTGAGAGGGACACTGACCTCAGACTAAATCAGAGTCAGCCTCAGCACTCCTAAGAACCAGCCCCTCCCTGACCTAGGAGCCCAGGGGGATCTGGCCTCTGCTCTCCTCTGACCTCATCTCAGCCCATGTTCACTCGAGTCCAGCCAGCTGGCCTCCCAAGTTTCCCTCCCATGCTAAGCTCCTCCCTGCCTCAGGACCTTTGTCTTTGCTGACCCCTCTGCCATAACTGCTCCCCTCCAGATCCTTGCATGGCTGGCTGCTTCTCTTTATTGAGGTTTCAGCAGATATGTCTCCTTTGTAGGGACCTTCCCTGATTTTCCCATCTAAGTAGTTGCCCACTGGATTCTCAGCGTCCTCCATCACATTGTCTTGTTTTAATGTCTTCAGAGCACATACTGCTTGTTCGGTTACCACCAGTAGAATAGGCCCTCCATCAGATCAGAGACGGTTTCTAACTTTTCACTGTTTTATTCTCAATGGCTGCCCAGTACTTGGCAAACAGTAGGTGCTCAATAAGTATTGGCTGAATCAATGAATAGAAAGAGTGTCCCAAGACAAAATTCGTACGAATAATATCAGGAAGGCTAAAAGCTAAATAAACTGAGTCTCACAAAAGCTATAGATACCAGCAAAAAAAAAAAAAGCGCTATAGGTACTAGCAAAAAAGTGAGGTTTTTTTTTTGTTGTTGTTTGTTTGTTTTGAGACAAAGTCTTGCTCTGTTGCCCAGGCTGCAGTGCAGTGGTACAATCTTGGCTCACTGCAACCCCTGCTTCCCGAGTTCAAGCGATTCTCCTGCCTCAGCCTCCTGAGTAACTGGGATTACAAGTGCATGCCATCATGCCCGGCTAATTTTTGTATTTTCAATAGAGATGGGATTTCACCACATTGGTCAGGCTGGTTTCTAATCCCTGACCTTGTGATCCACCCACTTTGGCCTCCCAAAGTCCTGGGATTACAGGCGTGAGCCACCGTAAGTTTTTAACATGTTAGAGAAGCCAGGCCGAGAGGATGGTGAGAAAACAGAGCTCTCCACCCCTGGTCTTCCTTCAGTTGCTGTGGTCAGGACCACGTGCTCTCCTGAGGTGGGCAGAGCCTGGAGGTGAGAAGAGGAGGCTTCAGTGGAGCTGCACCACCCCTCGACTTGGAGGAAGCTTAGGTCACCAGCTGTGACGGTATGGTGACGAAGTTCGGATCACATCAGATCCAGTTCCTTCCTCTCTTGGCAAGATCGCTAGGCTGGCAGATGAGCTCAGACTCAGCCCAGAGAGCTGAGTCTTACCCAGACAGCTGAGAGAGTGCTGGCCTGCTGCCAGTGATGTTCAGGGGGTGGTAGATGAAGGGAAAGGCTTCTAAAAGCAGTGTGGCCTGCAGAGAAAAACTCAGGAGAGGAAAGCAGCGGAGAAAAGAGGAGTACAGCATCTTTTTTTTTTTTCTCTGAGACAGAGTCACGCTCTGTCGGCCAGCCTGAAGTGCAGTGGCATGATCTCAGCTCGCTGCAACCTCTGCCTCCCAGGCTCAAGCAGTTCTCCTGCCTCAGCCTCCTGAGTAGCTGAAATTACAGGCATGTGCCACCACACCTAGCTAATTTTTGTATTTTTTAGTAGATAAGGGGTTTCACCATGTTGGCCATGCTGGTCTTGAATGCCTGACCTCAGATAATCCGCCCGCTTCTGCCTCCCAAAGTGCTGGGATTACAGGGTGAGCTACTGCACCCTGCCCAGCGTCTTTCTTACTGCCCAGCCTCCATCTCCAAGGTACAAGGGGGCCAGGGCCTGGGCTAGTTCACTGGAGAAAGTCCCAGGGACATGTTTAGCTGGGGAGAAGGTAGGGGTGACTTGCCTCTTGCAGATAGGGGAAGTAATGTTCCAAAAGTAGACATGACTGTCACCCATGGCACGAGTCACCACACTGATGATCAGTGGGAGGGAGCTGGAGAGCAGAATCTTAGAATTGAGGAGCCCCAGAGCTGGTGGGCCATGGCCGTGACCCACAGACCTATGTAGTTTGGCTCTGATAGTGTTTAGTCACGTGATGTTGAGTTTTTATTGTAGCCTTTGTTATTGTTTCTCTCTCTCTTTTTTTTTTTTTTTTTTAAATGGAGTCTCACTCTGTCACCCAGACTGGAGGCTGGAATGCAGTGGGGTGAGCTCAGCTCACTGCAGCCTCCGCATCCTGGGTCCAGGTGATTCTCGTGCCTCAGACTCCCAAGTAGCTGGGACTACAGGTGCCTGCCACCACGCCCAGCTAATTTTTGTATTTTTAGTAGAGACGGGGTTTCGCCATGGTGGCCAGGCTGGTCTCAAACTCCTGACCTCAAGTGATCCACCTACCTCGGCCTCCCAGAATGCTGGGATTACAGTCATGAGCCACTTTGCCCAGCCATATTGTTTTTTAATTTAAAAACATTTTTGAAGTTTTAGTTATCTCCTTAAAAATTCAGAAGTATTGGCCGGGCGTGGTGGTTTATGCCTGTAATTCCAGCACTTTGGGAGGCCGAGGCGGGTGGATCGCCTGAGGTCAGGAATTCGAGACCAGCCTGACCAACATGGAGAAACCCCATCTCTTCTAAAAATACAAAATTAGCCGAGCATGGTGGCGCATGTCTGCAATCCCAGCTACTCGGGAGGCTGAGGCAAGAGAATCGCTTGAACCCAGGAAGCGGAGGTTGCAGTGAGCTGAGATTGCGCCATTGCTCTCCAGCCTGGGCGACAAGAGCGAAACTCTATCTCAAAAAAAATAAAAAATAAAATAAAAATAAATCAGAAGTATTGGCATGAAGATCCAGACTTTTGGCTACTCCTGCAATTGCAGAGGGTCTGGCATCTCTGGGCCTGCATGCCCACCGCGAGCCAAGGGCAGCAACGCTGTCTGGTGTAGTGGCATGCTGAAGTGCCCCTGCAGATGCCTTGGTTGGAGGCTGGTGAAAATGAGCCTTTTTACCTGTACATCTAACACAGCTATTGTTGAGTGTGAGAAGCACAGGTGAGCATTCTTAGATCACAATGAGGATGTTAGGTGAAGTGGCTTCTCGAGTCTCCTAGATTCTCCTGATGGCACTCTGCCAGGGCAGGGTGAGCGACGTCGGATTTTAGGAAGTTCAAAAGTAGGACTTGACTAACCTCTGAGGCCCCCAGCTCTACCTTTTAAAACCCAGCATGATTACTTTATGTGGTTGAAAAAAATGAAGCAATGAAACCTTGATCCAACTTTCACTTTCCAGGTACAATGTCTTCGTAATGCCCTGGCACCATCCTGCTACACTGCCCACAGGTTTTATAGTCACAGGTGAGCATCAAATACACACAGACTCATCAAGACTCTGCAAGGAGGACCGAGAGGTGGCCCCTGCATTTGAGGCAAGGTTATCCCCCAGATCTAGCCAAGGTCCGCCTCACACCTGCAGAACAATTTGGATTTGTCTTATACCTGGCCAACATCCTCTCTACACCTATAAGGTGATTCTGGGCTTGACAATAGGTGGAAATTAAAAAATTGAGCCACCTGGATAAAAGCATAACAGCCACAGAATGAGGAGAGGTAAAGCAGAGGGAAGGACAGTGACAGTCTGGGGAATTTTCGGACTACTATGCAGGCATTCATCCACAGCAGCTTCTTGTGCTGCAGTGGCCAATCTCAACATCCTGCTCACGCCAGGGTGGTCAGTCCCAGCATGCCCCAGTGTGTAGCAGGTGCACCAGGAATTGCAGGTAACCTACCACTGAATTGTCCACACATCGTTCCCATTTCCGATGGAGACACGTGGCTGCCCGTGGAATATCATTTACTTGTGGTGCAGCAGGACAAGGTTGAGAACTGCTGTTTGGCTCCATGCCCATGACTACCAGGACAGCTAGGTGCCTTGAAAGGAGCTGGACAAAGCAGACACCTTTCCAAGCCTATGGGGCCAGAATGAATCAGCAGGACATTCCCAAGGCCACAGCTGAGGATGAGACATAGACTGTGGACTGGCCTGTGGAAGGCCATGGCCCCCAGTGGGGAGGATGACAGTAGAGGATGCATCCTCATATTGTCTTCCCTGTCCCTTAGCATCCGGGAGGAGTGAGGCCATCCACAGACTGA